GACCTTCCTTCTTTCAGAAGGAAAGTCCACACCAAGCCCCAGCAGTGCTTTCTTCCACTTCCTAATTCCATGTAGTGAATCTGAGTGGCCCAGCTGCCATCGGGGGTCTGCTTCTAACCCAATCAGCAGTGTCAGAGGGGGCGTGGCCAGGGAATCCACCAATCAGCAGAGGCTCCAGTGACAGTAGGCCCCGAGAGCTGATTGGGAATGGGCAGACGCGCAAACCCTACTGAAGGGAAAGAGGTGGAGTCCTCCTCTAAAAGCACATTCCGAATTTGCAGTTGGGTTGCCTGCCTGGAAACCAAGAACCCTAAATAGTGATCTTAAGCAGGAAGTGCACTGGAGAAAAAAACAGAAAAAAGGCTCAAAAGTTTGGAATATAGGATGATGCACTAATATCCTTAATCTGTAAAGAACAAATCAGTGAAAAAAAATGGAAATTGCAATAGAAATGAGATCATAGCATAACAGGTAGTTCACCAAAGAAGGTATGCGAGTAGCGAATGGATGTAGAAAATGATTTCAACCTTGCTCATTGTCGAATAAGTGCAAGTTAAACTCAGGTGGCTCCACTTCGCCCAAATAATGTCTTCAGTAGCCAAGGAAAAAGAGAACATTTTCTGAAATGATCTTACAAATATGCATCACCAAGTAACAAACAGTTAAAGGACAGCTTTGGGGAAAAGGAACTAAAGTTCTGTGTGAGCCCAGCAGACTTAAGATGCCAATGACTACGAGTTTTAGAGGAAAAGATTTTGGTTTCCTATGGAATCCACCTGACATCTTCAAGCAGCATCAAGCCTGTGCTGTAAACCGAGCATACACACAACAGCCTCTCGGGTGCGCACCTGAGCACGTGGGAAAGACAGAGAAACCCCAAGGGCCAGTAGCCAGTGTGTGGGACTCCATGTGAGACCCATGTCAGCGCTGGGAATAAGTCCCTGACCTTTTTGCAAAAAGTTATAAATGAGGCCCCCACATAAGACCAGACAGACCCTTGCTCGTTTGCCCAGTGAAAGCAGGGCCAGAGGACGTTCTCCTGTGGGGACAGCGCATGCCCCTTGCAGGACACCCTTCCACCTACGGCCACGAGTCAGCCCCCTCAGCGGGTCCCACGTGCTGGGTTGTCTCGGCTGCCTTGACTTCAGCTTGGGTACCTGGATATTCCCCAAGGCCAATGCCATTTGCTACAGGAAATCTATGTACAAATGAATGAAAATCTGTCACTGCACGGAGTTCCTGTAATATCCGCTGATAACTGCCAGGAACTCACCGAGTGGCCCGTTCTCAGCTTATCTTCACCTCCTTGAATCTTGCTAAAATAATACGGCCTCATCCCTGAGGTCCCTGCTCACCTTCCCATTTTACCAGCAAAAAAAAAAAAAAAGCCTGAAAAGCAGAAAAGTGACCTATTCAAGGCCCAGCAGCTAATGAGTGGTGGAGACAAAACTGGTCCGAGGAGAATGAGCTCGGACCTGGGAACGTGTGGCCACTGCACCAACTCCCACGCAGACACAAAATTCCCGGCGGAAGTGCGGGTACCCAGCAGCCCCTTGTGAGCGAGGCCACCTGAAGGTTCTCCCGGGGGTGTCAGGATCCTGGGAAGAAGCCACGTGTGCGAGCAAGACTGAGAAAGCTGGCCGGGAGGCTGGAGCAGGCGTCGCCCATTGCTCTTAAGTTGCTATTGGGCTCCAGTCACCTGCAACAGAAGACGTAGTGTCATAGCAAATGCCGTCCAGTTAGGTGCAAATATCCCCTCTCTGAGGTCTTCCTGGACCACCCTATGTGGCCCTGCACCGCTCCCTGGACCCCTCTCTGCTTTATCTTTCTCCACGTATGTGGAGTAATACCAGCACCAGCTGATAAGCCAGAATGCCAGCCCCATGCAGACAGGGTTTTTAACCCTGTGGCTCACTGCCGTGCACCTAGAACAGTGCCTGGGACACAGGAGGTGCTCGGTATGTGCTGGATAAATTAATGCCCAATGACTGCAATCGTGGCAAGTCCACATGCCTGATCGCTCATCCTCACAGCAGCCCGAGGAGCCGGTGATGGAAACTGTCCCCATTCTCCAGGTGAAGAAACTGAGGCCAATCCTTGCTGGTGTGTTACTTCAGGGGACTCCCATGTTGTGTGTGATCCCCCGCCTCTGAAATGATCCCTGCCGTCGGGCACCTGACTCCCTTGGCCGGGTGTAACCTGCCCACACCCGATGCTGCGCACTGCCTCCCAGAACATGAAAAGCACAGGCCACAAAAGCAAAATTAAGCTGAGTGCAGTGGTCCATGCCTGTACTCCCAGCTATTCAGGAGGCTGAGGCAGGAAGACTGTAAGTAAGAGCCCAGTCTAGGCAACTTAGCAAGGCCATGTCTCAGAAACAGGCTGGGTTGTGACTCGGTGTGAATTCAGTCCAGATACTGGATGGGGAAGGGAGCAAAAAAGAGACAAGTGAGATTACATCGAACTTAACACTTGCTTGTTTCTTTGTTTTGAGACAGGGTCGCACTGCGTAGTCCAGGCTGGCCTTGAACTCACTATATAGAACTCTCAATGATCCTCCTGCCTCAGCCTCCTGAGTGCTGGGGTTACAGGTGTGTGCTACCACACCTGGTAAAACTTTAAAACTTCTGAGCATTGAAGAAAACAAGAGAGGAAAGAGGTAACTTGGGAAATAGGAGGAAACATTTGCAGATCATACGTCTGAGAATGGTGAATATCAAGCCTGACTTGCTCAGTCCGGGAATCTGATGCTAGTGGCAGCAGTCAGCGGGCGCACATCCTGTCCCTGGGGGGTCAGAGAGCCTGCCAAGGGCTGTGATGACGCTGAGAGCTCAGTGTCCCCTCTCGAGTCCATTCGGACTCAGCCACAGCCACGCCCTGCCCTACCACGGCTCCGTATGCTTTGCAAGAACCTCCTGATGTGGCCATGGGGATTATTCCTGTGTGCCGGGGAGGAAGCAGCTCAGGGTGTGTGTGCCGGATTCACCCATTTCGGAGGCGCATCTCACATCCGTGACATTGCTGTTGGCCAGCAGGCATCCACTAAAAAGTGTCCTGCAGCTCTTAGTCACATTCCTGTCCCTTGAGCCAAGCTGTGTACATTTTTGAAACAGTAGATTAACCGCTGGTTAAAACGTCTTCCCGACCAACGTGTGATGACACAGGCCTCTAAGGCCAGCACTTAGGGAGGCTGAGGCAGGATTGCAAGTTTGAATCCTGGCTGAGCAACTTAGGAAGACCCTGACTCAAAAAATAAAAGAGCTAGGGATGTAGCTCAGTGTAAAGGCCTTGTGGGTTCCATTCCTAAGACTGAAAAATAATCTTGCTGAATATTCATGGTGATTGGGGTTGAAAATGAAAAGTAACCACACACCTGGAAATGGGAACAGGAAGTCACTTTGATGTTACTGAAGCGAATGCTTGTTGTGGGAGAGTAATTTGAGGGTTGCCGCTGGGAAGTGTGAAGAGGGAGGTCCGTGGAGTGGCTCTCAAATGCCAGCGTGTGCCAGGGTCATCCAGGAAGCTCGGTAAAGCCCACATTGCTGGGTGCACCCAGGAGTGTGCGATCGGCAGCTTTGGGGTGTGGGCCAGGAACTTACCTTTGTAACAAGTTCCCAGGAGTCCGGTGCTGCCGAGCCAGGACCACATTTTGAGACCCAAGCAGAGTGTGTGAGACCCGGAAGGAACAATGGCCGAGCCTCCCAGTCCACAGAGACGTCACAGCCAGAGGCCAGTGCGGCCGATGCTTGCATCAGAGAGAGGCAGCCTGAAGACAGGGGGCAAAAGTCGGTCAGAATCTTTCAGCTGACTTTTTTAAAAGCCTCTTACCTTCCCGGCACATATTTTCACTGAGAAAAATGGAAACCACCAGTCTGCTTAAGACTAAGGGCTGTCAGAACGCAGGTGTTTAAATGCCACGTTGCTGAAGGTGCTGAAGGAGGCAGAGGTCAGGAACCTGGGTTTCTTGCAAATGGCCACAGACCAATGTGCACTCATGGTCCGGGGATTTAGCTCAGAGGTTCCGCCGCCTGCCTCACAAGCTCAAGGTCCGGAGTTCGATCCCCGGTACCAAAAAATCAGTAAATATAAAATAAAATATCTAAGGAATATTAAAGTATTGGGTCACAATGTGTTTAATTGGCAGGATTCTTACTGTATATAAAATAATGGTGCATCTTATCATCTGTAACCTCTTAGTTTCAAAGAAATACGGTATTTGAGGAGAAAATATAATCAGCACCTCACATTTGGAGGTGTGCATATTATAGCTTTGGGCAAAGCTGAAAATCAAAGTGCTGTTGGGCCTGTTGATTCAAATGCACACACTCTGTAAATCTAATGGCCAGCCAGGCATGGTGGTGCATGCCTGTAATCCCAGCACTCGGGAGGCTGAGGCAGGAGGATCGCTGTGAGTTCGAGACCACCCTGGGCTAATAATGAGCTCCAGGTCAGTCTCAACTACATAGTGAGACCCTGTCTCAAAAAAACAAACAAACAAAAAAAAAGAGTTGATGTTAGAGCTCTGGCTCAGCATCCGATTCCCTTGCTTTCTGCTTAGGTTACAAAATGGCTGCCACATCTTCACTCTGTCCACAAAGAGGAAGTCAGGCAGCCAGGGGAGCAACAATGAGCTTTCCATGGGCTGGGAATGTAGCTCAGTGTAACTCAGTGTTACAGGCCTTACCTAGCATGTGCAAGGCCTTGGCTTCAATCCTCAGCACCAGAAAAAAAAAAAAAAAATGAGCTTTCCTCAATTATTTCTCTTATTGCCCCTAATTAAAAAAAAAAAAAAAATCAGGAAAGACAACCCTTTACAGAAGCCCCAAATCAGACATTCTCCAACATCTCATTGGCCAGAATTGGGTCATGTGGTCACTCTTAAGCAGCAAGGGAGCCTGGGAAAGAAATCTAGCATATTTATTCTCACAAACAAAGGTAGGCAAAGGGCATAGCTGTTGGCTGTTCATATTCTGAAAATTAATAAACACTATGTCTTTTAGTTTCAGCTCCAGAATTTGTTTTTGAACATGGGTATCAAACCTATCTACCCACGGAAAGCAATGAAAACCAGACAGCTACTGTCATTTCTCTCCCTGCCAAGTCCCGAACCAAAAAGCCGGCGACCCCACCAGCTCAGAAAAGGCTTAACTGTTGCTATCCAGGTAAAGGCAAGCTTCTGTCCTGCGTGTATAGAGGATGTGACTTTTAACCAGGTTCCAGAGCCCTTTCTGAAGGATGCTTGGCAGGTGGACGCGGATGTCTCCAAACTGCCTGGCTATAAACCAGAGCCACACGGCCTCACAGCAGCGTGCACCCCCTTCCTTGCCTGACGCTGATCACTGTGCCTCGTGGCTGTGAACCTTCCAGTGAAATGGAAACAGGAGAACTTGAAGTTGCTGCAAATATTTCTTGCCATGCTGTATGTCGGTTAAGACATCTAAAAGGATTTTTCCTTCTTTACTTTGTTTTAACTTTTTATTCTGGCATAATTGCAGACTTAAAGAAAAATTGCAAAAATAGTACCAAAAATTCCCTGTGTGCTTTTCACCTACATTTCCTAAATGTTTACTATATTCGTTTTGTCCTTTATAGATCTTTTCACCAAAACCACTGGAGAGTAAATTGCAGCCACAATGTGTTTTCACCCCTAAATACCACAGCGTGCATTTTCTGGAAACAAGGGCATTCTTTGGTATAACCACAGGACAATCATCACTCGGGAAACTAACATTTATTTATGCCATTATCAAATTTTCTGAACTTATTCAGCTTTCACCAGTTGTCTCCCTAAAAAGAAGAACATTTCCCCTCCCCAGTAGGGCATTCGGTTCCTCTGTGTATCTGGACCAGTCAGCTTTTGTACTTCCTGAACTTGACATTTCCGAAGAGGGCGAGTCAGTCCTTTGTTAAACCGCACCTCTGTTTGGGTTTGTCTGGGGTCTCCTTGCCATTAGATTGAGGCCAGAGCCGCAGAAGCAATGCTGGGGTCTTGCTGCCATGCTCGGGGGTCCCGTGACACGGTTTGTGTCTTCGCCGTGCTGGTAGTTTTTGTCACCTGGTTAAGAAAATTTCTGCCAGTTTTTTCCACTTGGAAGTCACTCCGTTCCCCTTTATCATTCATCCATCCTGGTGTTTTTGTTTGTTTTGCTTTGCTGTTAGGTTGCCAGTTCAAGACTGCCTATGGCATGAAGGACATGGAGCGTCATCTGAAAATCCACACCGGTGAGTAGCATGTCGCAGACCAGTGACACGGGGTGGGACTAGAAACCTCACAGTCGTCGAGGGAATACGAGGGCAAAGTAAAGAAAACTAAGGTGCTGTTTTTGCATATGATTTGGACAGAAAATGTCTACAGTAATAAAATCCAGACACAAAGAGGGCGGGGACAAACTTAGCAAGTAACAGCGGGAACTGTTGCAGCCACCTCAAAAACTGATCTGCCAAAATTAATTACACTTGAATGCACATTTTCAGGAGATGAGCCTGTGTGTGTGTGTGTGTGTGAGTGTGTGTGTGTGTGTGTGTAATTAGTAAAGAGACTATAGAGAAGCAATAGTAACTTTCTCTACACATCTTTGCACTGTCTGGATACACTGGGTGTGTTATTTTTATTATTTTGAAAGGGAAATTCAATAAATTCTTTAGAAGGAAAGGGAAAGTTCAGTGAACAAGAAAAACAATTATTTCTCATAATTTTCATTTTCTTGAACACCATGCCCCTTAATATCTGCTGGGAATTGGTTCCAGGGTCCCCCAAGGGCACCAAAGTCTGAGGGTGCCCAAGTTCCTTCTAGAAAATGACACAGAACTAGCTTGCTTGCTTGCTTGCTTTCTTAGTTATAGTAGAGATTGAACCCAGGGCCTTCACCCTGAGCTTAATTTTTTGGTTTTGAGACAGGCTCTCACTAAGTCCCTGAACTGCTCACACTGAGCTCGAATTTACCACCCTCCTGCCTCAGCCTCCCAGAGGGCTGGGATTGCAGGCATGCACCACCACACCAGTCTCTTTTCATACACTTTAAATCACTGTAGATCACTTATAATGCCTAATGCAATGTAAATGTTATATAAATCATTGCTATATTATTTTTATTTGTATTGTTTTTGTCAGTATCTTAGTTTGTTGCTTATTTTGAAATATGTTAGATCCAGAGTCCATTGAATGCACAGAGACAGAACCCAGCACATACAGAGAGCCAACTGTATATTATTTTTAGCGCTTCCCAGATGGGTTACATGGAGAAAGAATTGCTTTTAGACTGTGTTAAAGCACTAGGTACTCATTCAGATGATGCAGACATGTATGAAGTCAAAGCATAAATGTGCGTGAGCTAGGGACATACTGAGATTTGACTTTGGCTTCATAATTGCCCAAAGCCTGTTATTTAGCCTTAGTCTTTGGAAGATGAAACAGCCAACAAGCATTTCCCGGGCCACCGTCATCATCCAACCCGCCTCGTGTGCTTTGGATTGATTCTAACTATCCAAATCGTTTTTCTTTTCTTTTCTTTTTTCTCCCCCCCCCAACCCCGGGGATCGAACTCTGGACCTTGTGCTTGCGAGGCAGGTGTGAGCTAAAACCCCAGCCTTGACTGTCCAACTCTTATATGTTCAATATCAGTATCGATGCACATTTAAATGTAGCAGGCCACGGAACCCTCCGTGTGGATTTCATGTGTTGAATTTCCATCAGTCCAGCGTAGCGTGTTTATCACTGAATGAGCGAAATAGTCCAACCATTAACGATGACTGGAAAAGCCAAGTAAAAGTACAGATAAAGGTAATGACTTTAAGTCTATCTATCCTGCCAGTCCGCATCTACACACAGCCTGGTTTGTGTTTGCAGGACACTCCCTGCTTAACTCGAGCGTCTCTAGCATCTTCAGATCCAGGAGTTGACTGGGAGGTGTCCTTAGTTCCTTGAGAGGCGGGTGTGCTTCGTGAACCCCAGAGAATCGGGGAGTAGCAGCAGGGGTGTGGATCTACTAGCAGAGCTGGCTGAAAACTGTTTAGCTCTGCCACCTACAGGTGCCTTCGGGGTATTGCAAGTACACGCAGCCCAGGGACAGAAGGGACTCTATTGATGATTCCTGGATTTTTAAATATGACTGCGAAATTTTTTTAACAATAAGATTATACTCTTTAAGAAATCTTTAGGCATATTCTTAAATTCCAAATATCCTAACTGATCCGTTTTGGATAACAACTTGTTACAACACGTGGCTATGCAGAATTTGGCCAAAATACACATTTGGTATATAAAATAAAAAAGTGAAAATCCCTACTCGTGGACAGCTCCTTCTAATCCCACGCCCCAAATCATCAGCCGTAGCAGTTTCTGAAAGCACACTTCCCATCTCACTGAGTTGTACGTATGCTGTCCCTGCACCTGCGTGTTCACTTAACAAGGGCGCATTGGTCCCTTTGTAGGCACATAATCTGTTTTTCTCTTTTCAGTGGCCAAGTAGGGAACTGATTCCATAATTTATGACACCACCATAACATTAAGTACTTCAGCCTTAAAGTCAAGTTGTAGATGTTTAATGTTGTGAATAGATGATCAAAAAAAAAAAAAGATAGTCCTGGGTCCTAGTCCCAATTGTTAGGAGGATTAAATAAATATTTCAGAGGGCACAGTGTTATTGGAAAGGTGCTTAAATGAATGCTAGCCAAGAGAGGCTTTTTGATGCCAAGAAAAGCACACACACACACACACACACACAGCACATGTGTGCCAAATACTCAGAAGAAAGCACGCGAGAAGTCAGTGCCTGCTGGGCACAGTGGCTCACGCCTCTGACCCCAGCACTGGGGAGGCTGAAGCAGGATTTCAGGTCAAACCCAGTCTGGGTAACTTAGCAAGACTCTGTCTCAAATTTTTTTAAAAAAATTTAAAAGGGTTGAGGATGTCAGGGCAAAGGCCCTAGGTTCAAAAACCAAAAAATCTGCACCTGCTCACAGACTGACACATGTGTCTGAGGTTCAGAGTAAGCTGCTGTGACAGAGAAACCCAAACAGGAGTTCAAGCAAGCTGGGTTTAGTGCGTCTCTCACCAAGCCATACCGAGACAGGTAGGTGGGTGGGGACAGGTAGGCAGCTCTGGAACTTCACTTCCCCTTGCTGGGCCCTTCCTCGGCCACCTGCAGCCTCATCTGCCCACTCCCCAGGTCTGGGTTACAGCTGACAGGAATCGGGGAAAGAAAATGTAGAAGACAAGCAGTTACAGTCTATGAAAGGAACACATTTTACCCTCTCTGCCGCAACGTCCTCATCACAGACCTAGCTGCAGGGAAGACTGGGGAACGCGGTGTCCTGCTGGTCAGCTCCGAAGTCTTCCAGCAGCTCAAGGGATGCACATTTTAGGGTGTCTCTTTTGGAGAAAGGCCAAAGGGAATACATTCGAAGGTGATTAACTGCTTCTTATTTCACATGGGTCTGCATTTTCATTTTAGTGACCTGTTTTAATTAATAAGGAACTCATATTCATGATTTGAAAATTCCAATAAGCAAAATGAAAGAAGAAACAACCGGACACACACAACATTGGCTGCCCGCCAGTCACCCGTCCGGCCTTCTGGGGTTTCCTAAGTGTCATCTGGTAGTTGCATACTGTGTTTTTCCTAAAGCGCTGGGAAATAAGCCCATTCTCTCTTAACCTTGTTTCCTGACGCCGTTGTGTGTGTGTATGTGTGTGTGTGTGAAGGAGACAAACCCCACAAGTGTGAGATCTGTGGCAAGTGCTTCAGCCGGAAGGATAAGCTGAAGACTCACATGCGGTGCCACACCGGCCAAAAGCCCTACAAGTGCAAGACGTGCGACTACGCGGCGGCCGACAGCAGCAGCCTCAACAAGCACCTGCGGATCCACTCGGACGAGCGGCCCTTCAAGTGCCAGCTCTGCCCCTACGCCAGCCGCAACTCCAGCCAGCTCACGGTGCACCTGCGCTCCCACACCGGTAAGCCCCGCCCGCGGCCCCTGCGCCTGCGCTCCTGACGCTCAGCACGCGCCTGAGAGCCTTGGGTGACAACTAAGAGGAGGCCTTGGAGGTCTGTGGTCATCCTTTGGCTTGCGGTTTCGCTTTTTGTCTGCCTAACGGAGCCTTTTGTGGTTTAAAAAAACGGGGGGAGGTGACAACTTTAATGCACTCCTGCCTTATGATTAGGCATTTCAGTAATTTTGTTTTGTTTCGTTTTGTTCCTTTTGAGAGAGACAGGGTCTCCACTAGTAGCCTAGGCTGGCGTTAAACTCTCAGGATAGCCCAGTCTGGCCTGGAACTCACCATCCTCCTGTCTCAACCTCCCATGTGCCTCCCAGGCATTTGCCTCCAGGCCCAAACCTTCAGTAACTTTTAAAGTACACTCTGACTAGTTCAGCCTGGAACAGCTTGATTAGAAAACCACATCGAGGGCTCTGGGGGTACAGCCCAGGGGTTAGGTGCCTGCCATGTGCAAGGAGGCCCTGGGCTCAGTCCCCAGCACAGTAAAAACAAAATACGCATACACACAGTAAACAGTCCAGAGTTTTTGACTCAGTCCGTATACTTGTATGGTTTTCTTGCAGCATTTGTTATCAGCTGGCTGTTGATAACAGTAATAGTGTGTAACAACTACCACCCAACCTGAACTGCCTGTTGTAATAAATACCCAGTGCTTCCCTATTTCGGGCCAGCAGGGGGTGCTGTGGGTGGCTCAGCTTAATCACAGTGGGGAAGGCAGGGCACTCACAGACCCTAGCTGGATCGCGCTGGCTGTGGGCTCCCCTGCTGTCTGCTGGCTCTAGCTGGGGTGATCTGGCTGCTCTCTGGTCATCTCTGATCCTCCTCCTGGCACCAAGGGCCGCCCCAGGCTTGTTGCTCTTGTGATGATGGCAGAGATGCCCGCAAGCAAACCCCACTGTGTACGCCCTCTGCACACCTCTGGTTGTTTCGGGCTGCAAATACCACATTGTCTAAAGCAAGAGACGTGGTTGGGCCAGTGTCGGGGGTGGAGTTGGGCTCATCCATACCGAGAGGTCACCACCACAGCCTGTGTGGGCTCAGGTCTGGGACGTGAGGGTGCCGAAGAATTGGGACCATTTTTGCAGAAGTCCACTTTCATCTCTGCCATCATTCATATCTCCCTGACAGTCAAAATGCAGTCACAGTGTCCCCCAGGGCCCCGCAAATGTCATCCAAGCATAGGACTGGGATTGTGTGCTCTCCACCAGGTCAGGATATGGTTTGTCTTTATCTAGAAGCAGAGTAAGGAGACAAGAAATCTGGTTCCCAAAGTACAGTGGTGAAATAGAGCCAGGATGATTGCAGGAACCCTGGTGTTGGGGAGCAGAACAGTGGGAGGCTCTAGCGGTCACTGGTGTGGAGGATTTTGTGCTTGGCTCTCCCCACAGGTGACAGGGGAAATTTCTTGATTGGCTTTGGGTCTGCTCCCTGCTCCTAGACACTCCGACACCCTTCCCACCTCCTCCCTTAGCTGCTTCTGAAAAGGACTGGGAAACGTACTTTGGCAAAACTTTCTCAGCCTACTTCCTGCTACTGAAAGCTGGGAGTTTTCTTCATCGTAGTCTAGGCTGGTGACAGTTTTGCCGGTAGAGCTCTCTGTATGACAAAAGCCACACGATTCTTTTGAAATATTACTACTCTTTCTAAACTCGAGTGTAGGTGCTTTCTTCCTATAACATTCTGCACATCCGTATGAGTCCTTTTGCCCAGGTAAGAGAATCTACTTGGCCCCAAATAATTCCTTGGATGATTTCAACAGATTCTTACATTCAGACCTCTCATTTTTCACTTGGTCTTTACTCTGAGATCAGTTCCACAGTCAGGGTCTTTGTCCCTAGGCTTTTGTCTTGCTTTGAAAAGCTAGCTGGAGATGACTTGGAAGAATCTGGCTAGAGATGCTGGCTGGAAATGAAAAACTATATCCAGCAAATCTTTGTCTTTCTCTGTTCTCTCTCAATTCTGTGTAAAAAGTGGCCAGTTCTTTTTCAAGGTTTACTTCCTTGTAGGTGCCTAGTCACACGCAGCTTCTAAAACACTTTTCACTGCTCTGCCCAGAATGTATCTCTTTACTCAAATCCCAAGCCCATGTGTATTTTTTGTCTTCTAAGTCACCACAGATGACTTTTACCAAGTACCTGCCATTAAATGTTTGCCAGTAAATACCAATTGCCATTTTTCCTATCTTCCCCCTGTCACTCAACCCCATATTTTGGCTCTCCACTTGGACAGCACCCCATTCTAGGTACCAGTATCTACATCATGGTTTTCGCAATGATGCCGCATAACAAAAACCCCGTGAAGCCTCTATAGATACAGCAACATTCCTTTTCTGTCCACGTGTTGAGAAGCAGCTGGGGATCGCCTAGGTAGGTAACTGCTGACCTGGGCTGAACTCTGCAGGCCACAGGCAGACGCCACAGCCACCTGGAGGGATGGGAGGCAGGACACTGTGGACATTGACGTGATCTGCTCCGAGTTAAGTCATCAAGAAAACTCATGGCCGACTGATTTCCTTCACAGATTTCTCCCAGCCTAAGTTAGAGAGGCTAACCTGTGACTTATAAGGGTGACCTTAACTTAGGGTACCATCTTCAGATTGGCCTAGAAGGGGCATGATTTCTAAAGATTCGGGTGTGTGCTGTTTGTACGCTGCCTCCATAGGTTGTTCATTTTCTCTTTTATAAATCTGCGATGTATGACACTTCTAAAATGTTAAATTAACAGGATTCTATTCTTACCTTTCCATTGATTTAATGTACTACAGATAGCTACAGGACATTTCAGTAACAACCCAAACTCAAGAGAATCTATCAGCTTAACGTATCAGTCTCTTATTAATTCAGTAACATTCGTTAGGCCCCACTGTGGACCAGACACTGTGGAGAGCAGGTAGTCATTGCTGTAGGAACAGCAGTCATTGGTCTGTGAAGAGCGTAGAGTTCAGCAGGACTATTGGACCAGGAGGCCTCACTGAAGAAATAAATGTACAGTTAAAGAAAAATATAAAGGATCAAAGGAATGAGGTCCTTCGCTTCAGTGCCATAAAGTGTCGTTAGGCTCTGTAACTTAGTTGTGAGAAAGAAAGAAAAAGGAACAGAGAGAGAAAAAAAAGAAGGGAGAGAAAGAGAGAGAGCAAGGAAAGGAAGAGAGTGACGGAGAGGGAGAACAGTCGCTGTCACTGTGATCTGTAAACATGGGCAGAAACTAATAGAACACCCTGAACCAAAACTCTCCCTCCGCTGCCCTAGACGTCTCCCTGCAGGAATCCCCGTAACATTGGGAAGGCAGGGCCGTGCACTTGGGTGGGAAAAAATCGTATCTGTATTTTTACAACCTATCCTGGAACTCGGCATGTCCTTCGATGACGAGTACAGGTAGCCAGTTGATAACTGTTCCTGGGAACTTGTCACCCGTAGAAATCAGGTGTTTTCATACAAATGGTTACATCTAGATTAAAATACCTTTTATACTCCTCTCTATTGAGAAATTACTGTAGTTACAAGACCCGCCATGAGATCTGTTGTTTAATACATTGATAAGTACACATACTGCTATATCACAAAGTTTTCTTTTAATAGTTTAATAATTATTTGAATAGAATTGGTTTCTTTGGAACTTTTGTTTTGTTTTAATTTATTTTGTACATTTAAAAGATGATTCTTACAAGGGTTTTGTGAGATTCACTAAACTTCCAAAAATGGGTGATGGCATCCAAAAGTGTTTTAACAACAACATTCTGAGGCAGGAAAAGTCAGCTTTCTCTGAAACCTGCCAGAGAGCAGATGTCTTAGGCTTTGAGAAAGCAGTATTACAGCGTCTGGTCACAGCCGCTCACCTTTGCTGTTGTACTGTAAACAAGTGGACATGGTTGTGTTCCAATAAAACTTTATTTATAAAAATAGGCTGTGAGCAGGATATTTTAGAAGCCTGTTAAATTGCTCCCTGCCACCTCTCACTGAATTTATTAAATAGCTCATTCTGGTGTTGTAAGCCTTCTGCCAAAAAGCTGAAACACAGTCCCAGCTTTTTGAGTGTGTGGCCTGAGAAGGCAAACATGGCTTAAATGTACAGGTAATTGTCTGGCTTTGGAATCGGCCTGAGTTGGAATCTAAGCCCGGCCACACACGACTGAGTGACCATGAGCAAGCGATACAGGCTCTGGGGCGTCCGTCTCCCCATCTGTGTAATAGTGTAGGGCTGCTAAAGGAGTGCTCATCTCCTAGGGGTGCCGGAGGCATCAAATGAGACAGCTCAGTGGAGCATTCAGTAAAGTAAGTGCCTGCCATCCCAGAAGCCACCGAACACTGTTAGCTGCTGCTAATTTCACTTGCTTCAACAATATTGAAATTGGGGTGGGAGGGTACCAATTTGCTTGAATCCTCAGTGCCTTATGCAACTTGGACTTGGCATCAGTGAGTAAATAAATTTGGGATCTTGTGCCCCTTCAGATGTTTGCAGTCTCACTTTCCCTGCTTATCATTTCAGCAAATAGGAGTTTGTTTGTTTTAAAAATCAAGCAGCTGGATTCTGTAACTTCACAAGTAAAGAACGCAGCTGGCAATGTGGGATAAATAAAGTGTGCGCAATAAACACGTCTCTATTAATAAAAATCTGCATGAAATGTAAGCTGGTGTTTCAAGCACTGTAAAAAAAAAAATACTCGGATGAATGCAGCGTGAAGCTGACCCACTTGGAAATGTGCTGTTGAGTCTGTTGCAACGTGTAACTCGATCAAAATCATCGGATCATGCCAAGTTATGCAACTGTGAACCACTCACTTGCAAAGTGGGTGCATTAACTATGTGAACGCTAGCTTGTTTCCAAGAATATATCAAGTATTTGTGCAAGTCTTATCCGGGACAATTAAATAGCTCTTTTGCATCTCCCGTTTTTCCTTCCGGGTTTCCTAAGGGCGGTGGCTTGCGGTTCAGTTTTGGGGACAGAAGAGAAGCCTCTTC